GTGAATTTAATGGTAAAAGACTGTAAAAATGCTACAGTAAAAACCTGTTAAATGGTTAACGGTAAATTCCCCTACTATATACGGTGAAAAACTGTATTTGACATTACATGTAATTTTACGGTAGTTTACCGTTTTTGTAAGTGAAAAAGACTGTATAATTTACAGTGAATAACCGTAAATTGACATTCCCAGAATTCCCTGCGTTACATTTCAAATTTGATGTTTTTTTGTTGAAATAACTATGTTTCTTCTTAGTTTTTTCTTATCAGTTTTGTATATTAGGGTTGTGTGTTGCACATTAATGTTGTTAAATGAATGTTTATTGTATTATTTCAGTTTCATGTGTGTTACCATTATGGTGTTTAGTGTTTGTGTGAATGACGCTGTGCACCTTCTATATATGTTATTATTTAAAAGCTGCTTGTGATGGACTTTGGTTCATCATGTGATTTTCTCATCACCACCTGCATTTGGTGGTTATCAGTGTATTACAAAGGTACAAAACAGATTTCAGTACTTCAATAGGTTGGTATATTAACATTATATCAGTTAATGAAATTAAGGTATTTAACTGTAAATTTAAGTTAAAGCCGTAAAACCTAAAACGTTGCTACCGTATTTTTTACGGTAAAATTCTGGCAACCACAGCTGCCATTTTTTTTACTGTAAATTTTATTAAGTTATTCTTCTGCCCCATCTGCATGCTAATTCTCATTTCACCGATCACACTTTTTCTCTTGTTCTTTCTCTTTTTTCTCCCGTCTCTCATTTTCTCCATCTCTCATTACTCATGAGAGTGCTCAAAGCTGTCACCCTCCGACCTCAGGCAGGTTCAGATGGAGGTCAAGCACAGAGAAGTGTGTGTGTGTCTGTGAGTGTGTGTGTGTGTGTTCTCTCTACCTCTGCTGCCATGGCAACAGAGGCAGTGAGAACAGACACCTGGAAGTTGTGTTGAATGTAACACTCCCAAAAATCATTCAGTTTTGCTCTTCACCCCTACCCCTTTTCCTCTCTCATTGTCTTCCTCTATCACTCAGACAAATTAAAAACACACATTAGCAATTACTGATACGAGAAATTTACGAGAAAACTTATGAGAAAACAGCCATCATCTGATGAACAAAACATAACTATAAACTATTACTAAAACTATTAAGAATAAAATAAATATTCATGACAGAAAATATTGAACGTATTTTAACTAATATTCTGTCAAGCATTATATAATGTTTGTTAATGTCATTAAAGGTATTATAGTGTTATTAAAGGTATAAACGTTTGTGCAGAACACATTAAAGGTACATTAATCATAATGAAGAGCACACACACTTATAACTGAAGTCTGCATACTGTAATTTGAGTCCTAAATAAAGGGATAGTTTACCCAAAATTGAGTGTCATTTACTCATTCTTGTATGATAGCAAACCTGTCTGACTTTACTTCCGCTGTGGAACACAATAGAAAATAATTTGCTAAAATGCAAAAATGAAAGTCAGTCTTATTCTTGGAGATTTCCATGTTGCATGAGAAGCTCATGTAGCTCAATTCCACTGCTATGCTGCAAGCCTCGAGTTAGTGAGTGAGTAACCTTCCTCTCGATCTGCTTGCAGTGATTTGTGGCTACTGTTGAGAATCGTTTTGGCTTTTAACATTGATTTATTGACCTCCTAAGCCAAGGAGCATATTAATAAATCTGCAATTAATATATGGGGGAAGAAAGTGGAGGCATTTATATAAGATGCAGGGAAATGTGAACAATCACAGGATTACAGGGAATAAGGAAAATGCGAATTGATGTCAGATAGAGCATCTTACTGGATTATAGACTTATTATGTTATTGAGTGCACATAATATAACAGCGAAACACAAACATTACAGTCAAAATTGAAAGCAAAGATAAACTAAAAGAAATACTATAATATAAAAGTAACTACAAAACTCCGTTAGCTAAAAACACGAGGGTACACATTAAAGAATTATGAAATTCCTTATTGAGTTATAATATTATGAGTTAAAAATAACAATATTAATGAACAATATTTATTAAACAATAATTAAAAAGTATACTAATCCCGTGTCTGGTATAACACGCAGAAAAAGGCAATATTTATAATCTGGCATAAAAAAATAAATAAATGTAGTAAAACGTCGCCCTTTCGCGTCTTACTAAATTTCTACGTTGTCACAATGTTGCGAGCACGTAGACGGCGACTTTGCCTTTGTAAAAATGGAACGTTGCATAGACATTGCCACAACGTAAATGTGTTTGCTGGGTAATGCCACATGTGTGGAATCGAAATATTCAATCAGAAATAATGACATATTTACAGATTTCGCATTGGTGCTCCACACTCCATTCAGTTGCTGGCGGTAATGTACCACGAAGCTGGTTTGCCAACCCATAATCAAACCTCAGAAGAAGAAGAAAATCCCAGTATGCCCCACGGTCTGGTTGCTTTTTGTTACCGGAAACACCACTGGAAAAATGCAGTCACATCCTGATGTTGAGAGGTAAACCACAAATACGTGATCAAATGAAATCTAACGAAAGCAAGTAATAAAATGGTTTTATGATTGTATCTCGCTGTAGTGAGTCGTGTATCACTAAGAATCATTGGTGTTCAAATGGCATGGAAAGACGTTTCATACAAGATCTTTCGAGTAAATTCCTTGATGAGGTTTTTCATAGCGCAATAAACTCATAAAGCACCGTTACAAAAATGAACTTGAATAAATATGCTGCATACGCAATGAAGCCTGCAGTTCAAAGGTCTTTCGTCTACAGCAGTTGACTAATATTTCAAAGTAGTGTAATAACTGGTGCATTGTAGTACAGATGCATTCCAGTGCAGCCTCATTCCCTTTCCCATAATATAACTGCATTTAAGGTTTATGTTTTAATAAAAGAGTCGTAATAAAGAGTTTTGTAACAAACATTCATGGATATGAGTTTGTTAAAACAAACAAGTTCATTTTTGCAATAGCTATGCCACAATCTAAGTTGAGTCATTTATGAAAATCATTTCATTTGTAGGTTGGAAAATGGAGATGTGTCTCAGAGAGACCATTTACTGGGAGAAGATCTCACCGGTCTGCTTGACCCGGTGGCTGACCAACTGTTAAATGGCTCTACAGTTGCTTCAAGGTTCCTGCGGGCTGAACTGGAACTGAACACACAGTTGCGGATGCTGTCGTTTGGGAAACCAGTGCGATACATGTACAACCCGCTTGAGTACGCCTGGGACACACATCGATGTTATGTGGAGAAATACTGTCGGGAAGGGCAGAATGTTCTCTTTCTAGGCATGAACCCAGGGCCTTTTGGTATGGCACAAACAGGGGTCAGAAGATTTTCTTTCTTTTTTATGATTTCACAGTATTATTTTTTGTTGTAATGATGTTACTTGTGACTACATTCAGTAAAGAACAGGGTTTCTGTGGGTCTTAATTCGCCCTTCCACAAATGAAGGCCTTAAAAATGTCTTAAATTGGAGCAGAATGTCTTAAATTCATGAATTCATCTTCTAACGATTCTAATAGATTCACAAGTTTCAAAATCAATGTTCTAAAGCAGAGGTTCTCATCCTGTTCCTGGCCTAGCCCTGGACGCAGGCTAGAGGCAGTTTAGCCAATCACAACACACTGGGCCAGCTAATCAATTAGAGCCCATCGTGTATTTCTGAGGGAGGGGCTTCATAAAAGCAGGAAATGATCAGCGCGTTCAGAGGAGAAGGGACAGAGAGGTGTGGAATAAAGGTAAATTATGTGGAAAATAATGCGTTTTTTAACAAACGAAGCATTAACACATGTAAGACTGCACCCCATAAACACAATCAAGCCTAGAAAAAAACCAGTCAACCACCCCTTTAAGCGACATTTTTTTTTCGATTGCGGTATCTTAAAAATTCATATCATATCAAAAATAAACACTGGTATTGGTATGAACCGGTATACCGCCCAGCACTAATTCATAGCATTAAATGTTGCTTGCACAACAACATCAATACTACTACTACTACTAATAATATCTTCCTCAGTGTTTTTGTCTTTTTTTCCCAAAACAAATTATCTAAACTTTCACATTTTTCCTAGTTTGTCTTTGTTTTTTTGTCAATACATTCAAAGTCACTGGGGTTTAATGTTATTTCAATCCCACTGTTATTCAAAATATATTATTTTGTGTTCCGCAGAAAATGTTTGGAACGACATGCGTAAATGATGACAGAATTTTTACATTTTAGATAAGCTATCACTTTAAGATTTTTGAGAGGAGCTTGTTCATCTAATTTTGTGAAATGTCACAATGCAAGCAAACAACTTTCCCTTTATTTCTTTTAAATTATGGCTAATTCAATTAAGTAATCTGGGCTTGAATCTTGAATCTTAAACCGAATCTCTTTTGCTGCAACATTTTGCCCAGTCGAGAATGTTTAAAATCGCAGACAGACAACCACTCCTGATTACTGTTTTGCAGTCTACAGCAACATCTGAGAAGAAAGTCCTAGCATGTTGATTGTGAATTGTATACAAGCATATAAAAGAGCACACTTCTAAATACAAAAGCAGGTAAAGCACACAAGAGTCTCTGTAATAGTGGCTGCACTTATTATTAGCAGCATCCGCATTTGTGAGTTCTACCAAAAATCACCAGTTTCTGTAGTTGTCACTGTTGTAACTTGTTAAAGATTCTTACACTGTTCGTATGAGATTTCATAACAATTTCTAACAGTTTAAAAATAGTGATGGATAACGGAGAAGAGCAAAAAAATAAAAATCAACCAGATCTCTTACTTCCTCGTTATCAAGGTACCGTTTGGCGAGGTGAAGGCAGTTCGCAGTTGGTTGAAGATCACTGGAGCGGTTGGCCGTCCAGCAGAGGAACATCCTAAGCGACGGATCTTAGGCCTCGACTGCACTCAGAGTGAAGTGAGCGGGGCCCGTTTCTGGGGCTTTTTCCAAGAGCTCTGCGGTGAAACTCACAACTTCTTCCGCCATATTAAACATTTTACAACAAACGAGCAAATGTATCTAACAACTACTCACCCTCTTTTATACTACGCCCCCCACCCCCCATCAGCTTTCCATCGATGAAATTCAGGTATCTGAACTGGATCTGGATACACAGAGCAGAGCCTTTTTTTTTCTCATGATACCTGTATGAACCTCTGAGAGGGGACAGTACTCTGTTCTTCTCCGAGATTCAGGCGTGCAGAGCTGAGTAGGTTTTTTTTATTTGATTTGAAAGGACTGATTCTGTCCTTTGTAGCTGATAGCATGAGAGTTTGATAGTTGTTCAGTTTTAGCATCTCGCACACATTTTCAGGGAACCTGACTCTTTTCACCTGCTCTTTGTAAATAAACACTCTTTCCTATTCCCTGCTCTTTCTGCCAGTGGGTCAAATGCACACAAATTCAAAAAGGGCTGAGAGCTTAATTGCATCTTACTATTGTCTTCCTAATAATGATTGTCTTTCTCTGTGTTGTATTATGAATGAACTCAATGAGTCTTGCCAGTGGCATTTACTTTATGGTGTAGAGACCCCAGCAGCAGGCAAAACACCCATTCCATTAATTCTTCTCTTCCTTTCTCCCCTCACAGAGAATGAGATCTGCAGTGTTCTCTACCTGCATTCCTGCCATTCGATAAATCCCACATTTCAGTTCATCTTCTTTCTCTGCCTCTTGAGTTTTGTGACAATGGGGTTTAGGTGTTAGGTGAAACATTTGAAAGTATGAGCAATGCTAACATTGATGCTTGCCTTAGCCAACACTAGTAATATTCATCTTCAGTGCTGTATTGTTATGTATTGATTGTGTCTGCTACACCGATATATACCGTAAGATGAACCCTTGAGGTGGTCTTGACAAGGTGACCTCCTGGTGACCCCTTGGCAACTAGTAAGTAGAGACATTGAGCATGAGCATTAGTCCCTGTTTAATGGCTGATGCTTACCAGAGCCATCAGTACCATGACAAATGTGGGCTTGGGTTATTAAAGCAGAATTAGACCGGAGAGAGAGGGAACAAGAGTGACAAATAAAGAGGTGTCGAGATCCACTGGAGAGAGATGAGGATGAAGAAGAAAGGAATGCACAGAGAAGTATTTTTATTTATTGGTTTATTTGAATAACGACAGAAAAAAAAATGGTTGAAAAATGATTCTAGCAAAAAGCTGAAAAACATGCATTGTACAGTGGGTATAGAAAAGAATCACCCCACCTTTAAAATAATGATAGTTTGTTGCTTTGCACCCTGAATGAAGATGTTTTTGTTTTATCCAGCTGTATTTACTCAGTGCAACTTGTAACATCCAAGTGAAAGATATAACACCAACATGTCAGGAAAAAAATAATTAAAATAAAAAAAACATTCACTGAGTTGGAAAAAGTATCATTCCCTTGTGGACTGCAGTCTTCAAGTCCTTCCTCAGATTTTCAGTGGGGTTTAAGTCTGGGCTCTGATGAGGCCATGCAAGAACACCTTTTTCTCCTTCAACCACTGTGTGCTCAGTTCTGCCGTGTGCTTTGGGTCATTGTCATGTTGGAAGGTAAACCTTCTTCCCATTGACAACTTTCTGGCAGAGGACAGCAGATTTTCCTCAAGAATTTGACAGTATTTTGCCCCATTATTTTTCCTCTTATCCTGACAAGTGCTTCAGTGCCTGCTGCAGAGAAACACCCCATAACAGGACATCACCGCCTCCATGCTTTACTGGAGGAATGCTGTTATTTGGATGCTGAGCTGTATTGGATTTCTGCCAGACATATCGTTTGGTGTTGAGGCCAAATAATTCAATTTTAGTCTCATCTGCCTCAGAATCTTCAAGGTGTGTTTTGGCAAAGCTCAGTCATGACTGAGCATTATCAGGAGGTCTATTACCAACACCTCCTTTATAGTGGACTTTGCTATCCTAGCTACTAACAAAAGTCTAGGGTCTCATGACCTTAAAGAGCGTGATGGATTGACGTGAACAAATCATTCTTTTGAACCGGGTCTTTTTTGGTGAATTAGTTGAAGCAGGTCACCAAATCGGACTGAACCGTCTGAAACAGTTTGTGGCTCAAGCAGCACAGAAGTTACTTAATCAAAACTCACTTTCGGACGTCCAACAGTCACTCCAACTGAAATGAGCCAAAATACCAGCGTATATGATCCAGTGATGCTGGTTTTTGCCAACTCATTTAGTGCAGTTCCTCCAATAGTCACTGAGCAGATGAATATGCATGGATGAACCGCACTTGAATACTGGGGCAAAATTACAGTTTTTATGGTCCTATGTCGTACAGTGAGAGAGGTTCAAAGACGGCCGTTGTCATGATCTTGCGACCAAAGATAGCCTACGATAGGGTGACCATACGTGCCATTTTCCCAGGACGCGTCCTGGCCAGGATTTGTTTAGGCTTTGTTTTCCTGTTTTCATGCTTGCTGAAGGTAATGATCGAAAAGTAGTTTGACCAATAACATGCAAGCATTGTACATAATGGACCAATCATGGCGTGTGAGAAGGTGGGATCTACGGTCAAAGCGATGCAATTACGCGTACATATTAGGTGTGTTCGACTTAAAAGCAGTGCGGCTCAGACCGATCAGTGTTTGACATCAAAGTACCTCGAGAGCGTTTCGAAAGCATAACCGTCTGTATGGTACTTTGATGTCATACACCGATCGGTCTGCACACGCAAACAAAGCCAAAACCTAGATATTTTAGGCAATATAGAAATCCTGGCCAGGACGCGTCCTGGGAAAATGGCACGTATGGTCACCCTAGCCTACGATAATTTTCTGACAGTGTCAGAAATTCAGCATGATCATCGCAGTGTGTTTGCTGCTATGACCCATGTCTACTGACCAGCAAATAAAAATGCTACATAAAATGGCGTGTTGATCAATGCGACATGGCGCTAAAACTTAAAACTGCTTACCTCAAACTTTTTTTTTTCAATTCCTCTTTCACAGCTCCCCCCTTTTTTTTAGCACACATAAAAAGTACAACTTCCAAACTGTTGCTGTTGTCCAATGTGCCTACTTATACTACGCCCTTAAAGTTGGTTTTGGTGAAGAAAAAGTACACACTTTAGCAGAAGAGTAGGCAAGCTTTGGGACATACTATCACGTCATACAATTGCATCTTTAATGGTCTGCTCTGTCGCATAGTCTTACACACATCCTGCCACTGTAAACTGGCCTGTCAATCATCTTTTCACAGTTAACATTCTCCATATTTAATTGAATTTAACTTCCTAGTGTATTGGAGAGAAATAAGGTAGCACGTTGATCTGCCAGCCGCGGGTCTTTATGAGTACTCTCGCGCTGTGTTCAGTGCGCAGTCTATGCACACAGAGAGCCTCGTCTCAGACAGCGCGCAAACACCGAACTGGGCTGCCTTTCCCAAAAGCTCGGTAAGCCTAAAACGCAAGTTCTTTCCGTTCCTGCACTTAAATCGTTTTTAATCACATTAAAATGCGAACGCGGGAATTGTTAAGCAGAATCGAAATGCACGCGTCTTATCGAATACCCATGTAACACAGTTCGTAGTCACGGGAAGAAGGAGACGGGAATCGGCGTTCAAACAAAACTTTAATAGGAATCGTTAAGCAGAATCGAAATGCACGCGTCTTATCGAATACCCGGTTCTAGGAAATTTGGAACCGGTTCTAAAATGGAACCGGTTTTCGATACCCAACTCTACATACGACTGATCTTAATATTACTGTCTTTGTCACCTTATAGAATGGCTCGTAATTGTAGTACACGCTCGTTTATTGAAATGTTAACCTAATGCTGCGTTCCAGACAACTATAATAACTAGATTACAATATTATATTATATTATATTATATTAAATTATACTTTACATAATAATATATAATAGGCCTATACTTTAGATAAAAATATCTATATTATAGTATATAATATCTATATAGAGGCGTTATTTCCGGGTCCAATACATGGCTGGTTTTCGTGCAAGTCAGCAAGTCATTGACAGATTTTTTCCCCACAGTCTTTTGAAGCATGTTTCCTACATTATTTATTCATTTTTTTATTATTGGTTAATTGTTCATTGACATTTGCTAATGGAATTTTACTCTCTTTTTATACACTTACATGGGCAACATAAAAAGTCGCACAAAATGGGGTGGAATGTAAAACACATAATAACGAGCCACATAGATTATTGGTTGCCATCGTTTGGGGGAAGGGGGGGCGTTATTAATGGCGTTTGTTTGTTCAATAAACGTCCCCTGTCTGTATCTGTTTAACTAAACAGGAAGCAAGTAATTGTATGTAAAAGGAAAGACATAAAATTGTATGACGTGTTAGGGCAATAAAGTCTGTACTGTAAATGACTGAAACAGACGTGGAGCCAGACAATCAGTCCGAATTTTCAAGAGGAGAAAATAGCTTTGTAATCTTGGACAGTAAACAAACACCCCAGGAAATTAGCGATATGGCCAGGTACAAATTACTCCCAAAAAAGTAACTTGAAGAGATGTATGTATTTATAAGGACATGTATTCAAGACTCTTTACTCTTTTATCATAGTTTCAGCATTTTATTCATTATTTCTAATTTGGTATTATAGTGCTGGGTGCTTGGATTATACTAAATTGTAGTCTGCTACTAATTCCAAATTACATGACCAGGAATTGTAGTTGTAGTAAACATTACTTTTGACCTAAGTCGTTATCCTGATTTAAATAGCCTCATACTGTACCATATTGATATAAAAATAGAAAGAGGATAGCCTCATATTGTACCATATTGATATAAAAATAGAAAGAGAAAATATACATGTTATTCGTTGTTATTAACAACACGAAGTGCATTAAATATTGCATTAGGTCAAGGTTTGCCAAACTGGGGTTCTTGAAGGAACTGCAGGGGGTTCGGGAGTTTAATGAAAAGCTAATTATTAATTAAACCCTAAAAAAAGTCAAATAAAAATAAACAATTTTAAAATAACAACAATCAAAACAAAAGACTTACCAGAAAAGGTGAAATATTTTATTTGTTTACCTGCATGTCATGTGGCCATTAAACAATTTGAACATGCAAATGTGTTATTTAATTATTAACTTACCTTAAAACCTTAAAATCTCAGGGGGTACTTTTAGTAAATAATGGTGAAAGAGGTTCGACTGACAAAAACTTTGTGAATCTCTGCGTTACATGTAAATAAGAAATAACATAATTGTGTGCATTTTAGTGTGTTTGAAAGACAGTATTAATGGTAATAACCCACTGAGTCATAATTCAAATCAAAATTAATGTAGATCAGTAATTGATGCACTGTTGAAATGTTGATAAAACTTAAAAATGAAATATTTTTTTGTAAAGCCACCTGACTAGTGACTGGTCTTTGTGCACAAATCTGAAAGACTTTCTGACTGTATATAAGCAGAAGGCTCTTTTAGAAAGAAAAAAATTAAATGACGGAAATGAAAAATTAGGGAGAATCAATAATTTTTGAATAACATTATGAAATAATGTAATCAATAAAAGTACCTGTAGTCTGATTACAATTGATTTAATTTAAAATGAAATATAATCTAATTACAAGTACTTAATTTTTGGAATCTGATTATGTAATCCTGATTACATGTATT